CAAAGAGGCGGAGACGGCGGGCCACAGTCCATGTGCACGTGCCCCAGGAGCCACCAGGCAGCTAGAGACCCAAAGGCTCACTTTGCCATCACCACCAGGCCACACCCTGTGACACCCAGTGATTTGCCAGCTCCCTCAGCCCCAGTACGACTTCCCCAGAGGTAGTCGGTTGAAAAAGCTGTGTCCCCTGAAAGCTGTGCCCCCCAGAACCTCTGCACCTGACCTGATAGGGAACAAGGGTCTGCATGGCTGTTGTGAAGCTAAAGCTCTGGAGCAGAGCTGGGGCTGCGGGGTAGGGGGGTGGGGGTCAGCCAAAGCCAATAGTCAGTGTCACTGCAGGAAACCAAAAAGGAAGGGACACAGACGAGGCCACCGAAGAGGGAGGCAGAGACGGGAGTGGGCTGGTGAAAGGCACAGAGTGCAGAGGACTGTGGGAGTCTGCAGAGGCCAGGGGAGGGGATGGAAAGGAGGCTTTCTGGGGAGATTCCACCCACTTTGTCTGAGGGGACCCTGTGCGCTCTGAGCTGCGGCCTGGGGTGCGTGGTGGGTGCTCAGCTCCAGGACTGCACGGAAACCTGGCACATGGTGCCACCAGATGTGTCCAAGGTCAAGGCGCACCTTGGCGTGAGCCGGGTCCACAGCTCCCTGTGCACCCCTAGACCAGTGGCTGGGCACTTGCATGGCTTTGTCAAGGATGGTCTGGCTCCTGTGGGTGCCGACTTCAGGCTCCAGGGGGCGCTGCTGGGGATCTGTTCTAAACCCTCCTGGTGCTCCGCTGTGCAGCCAGGGCTGGCAATGTGGACCAGCTCAAGGCCTCTGGAAGGTGACAGCTGGCTGCATCCCGAGGCCCCAGGCCTGCGTGCATCCCCACCAGGGAGCCCCAGGGCTGAGAGATGAAGACAGTCACCACTGCGTCCAGTTACTGGGCTGTGCCTTGCGTTTGGACGCTGTTGTTTGTGCGCCCTGATGGCCCAGCCAGCCAGCATTTCCCATGCCGCCCTTGGAGAAAGCACCAGCTGCCAGGGTGGACAGCAGAGAGGCAGCCCCACACTGCTCTGTGACCTTGAACCTGATACGGACTTGCTCCTGGCCTCAGTTTCTCCATCTATCCAATGACTCAGCAGTGCCTGCCTTTCAGAATTCTAACAGTTTAACAGCTAAATCGCGTAGCAGACATTCAATAAATAGAAGCCGTTATCACCAACTCTGCAGGTACACCGTTCCAGGGCTGACTGCTGCCTCTCCCATATGACACATGTGCTGAAGCCCTGGCTCCCGACACCGCACAGCATGGCTTAGATGGACTGGGACTTCGAGGAGGTAGTTTGAGTACAGTGAGGTCACTGGGGGAATTTCTAATGTGATTTGATTGAAGCCCCTGTAAGAAAAGGCAACTGGGACACAGACACATGCAGAGGGATGACCTTGGGGAAGTCACAAGGAGAAATAGTAATTGACAAGCCAGAGGAGAGGCCCCAGGGGCCTAGCGCTCTCCTGGCATGGAGGAGGACCTGGTCAGTCCTCAGCACTGCAGAACAAACAAACCCAAGAGGAGAGGCCTGAGAAAGCAGCCCACCACACCCTGACCTTGGACTTCGGGCATCCAGGACCCTGAGATTACAAATGTGTGCTTTGTAAGCCCCCAACCCGTGGGATTTTGTTATGACAGTCAAGCCAGACTAATGCACTCTGGGTAGGTACAGGCAGCGGGAGTACCTCAGGGCTGGAGTGCTTGCCTAGCACTATGGTTTCTACCTAGACGCCCCCAGAGCCTCGGGTGCTCATAGGTGGGGCTTCTGGAAGATGAGTGGATGATGGGGGTTCATAGCTCATTGCTGTAAGAAGGCGGGGCCTGGTCGGAAGAGGTGGTCACTGGCGTCGTGGCCCAGAAAGACTTATCGGCCTCCTTGGTTCCACACTGACCCCCACTGCTTCCTGTCCACTATGCCCTGAGCAGCTCTCCTCTGCCAGGCTCCTCCGCCATGCTGCCTGCCTTGAGCCAGCTGTCCATGGACTGAACCTCTGTGAACTGTGAACTAAAATAAACCTCTCCTCCTTTAAGTTAAGTGGGTGTCGGTTATTGTGTCCCAGAGAGGAAGAAAGTGACCAAGGCCCCTAGCATGTGAGGCCTCCCTGCTTTCCATCCCCAGTAACAAAAAAAAGACATTCATTTAACGACAGAACTAGATTTTACTTTCCTTTACTACTAATCACCATTTTTGCCAAGAATAGCTAATCTGATTCTCAGAATAGACCACAGATGTAAAAGAGGGCCGAGCCTCCATTTCACAGGAAAGACTCAGGCTCATAAGATTCCCTGACGCAGCCTCATCTCTGCCAGACAGATGACATCTCTAGTAGCTCCCTCGGCTGTGAGGAACAAAATGAAGTCACCCTCATAACAGAAGTCATGCTGCCACAAAGTGGGTGCTCCGTCAAAGGCCAGTCATGGTAATATTCTGTCTAAGATCTTAGCACCAATGAGAGAAACAGCCAGCCCCTTATCCCCTGGACTCTAGGACATTCTGTCCTCGGTACAGTACTCACTGCACCCGACCTTTTCTTTTTTTTTTTTTTCTTTTTTTGGAGACAGGGTTTCACTGTGTAGCTCAGGCTGGGCTTGAACTCCTGGTGATCCTCCTGCCTCAGCCTTCCGAGTGCTGGGATGACAGGTGTACACCACCGCACCCAGCCACCCCACGTTTTTTATGAAGCTGATTCACAAATTCAACCACAGCCCAGCTAGGGAGGAGGCACTGCCCTGCCCCGTTCTGTCCTGTCCCTCAGACCCAAGTCCTGGAAGCTTCCAGCTGCCCCTCTGCTCCCCATGTGACGTGGAGCCCGGGAGGGCAGCAGGAGCTGGATCCTGGGCCACAGGCGTCAGCGTGTGGGCTGAATTATTTCATCTCTGGGCAGCCACCCCAACTGATTACTTAGAATGTTCAATTTTGACTCTGCGTCACAGTTAGCATTGCCAGGAAGAGACAAAAGCCTCCTTTATAAATTAAGAGATAAATAAACCAACCTACTCCAGGCCAAAATATTAATTCATAAACACCCTCAAGTCTAGAAGGATCAACCCCCAACCCACAGCACAGTGTGCAGATGGCTGGAGTGATGTTGATGTTTTTCCTTTTAATTAATCAGCATTTTCTACAATGAACAAGCAATATACTTTCTTCACAAAATAACTTTCTTTAAATGAAGTTAAAGAAAAAAGTTCCCCTCATTGAACTCCCCCCCTACCACGGTTTCCCAGAGACCCCTCTGTAGAGGCGATCTTGAAACATAATACCAGTCAGAAGATTGCCCCACCAGGGGGCCCAGATTTGAACCCTTGACCAGAACTCCAAGAACAGACGGGACCACAGCTTCCCTTCCACTCAATCCCAGGGCACCCAGTGCCCAAGCCAAGCTGAGTCTCTGGCCCTTCACATCACAGAGAATCCCATTCCGGCTGGGAAGGCAGCCCCCACCTGGCTTAGACCAATTTCCCCCAAAGCAGCTGGATCAAGCTCCATCTGCAGCCCCTCCAGGGATCCTGTGAGGAGAATGAAGTGTTGATTGTTGAAGCCAAAAGAAAAGGAAAGCTTTTTATAGCCAAGCCTCCTTGTCCTCTGTGGCCAAGGGGTAACCTATGGACCCCTTCTCAGAAGAAGGTTTTCAATACACAAAATACAAGGAATTATGAATGACACCAGGAGATGGTCTGAGTCTGTTCACTGCTGCTATTGCAAAAGACGGGAGAACGGGTGCCTTGTAGACAAGGGAAGCTCATGTGATGCACGATTCCCTGGGCTGAAGTCCAAGGGCACAGCTGGCACCTGGGGAGGGCTTCCTGCTGCACCAGCACATGGGAAAGCACCACATAAGGGGAAATCCCATGTGCTGTGGCCTGGACAAGCACCCCAAGGCCCATGTATACAGGCTTGGCCCCCAGCACCCAATGCTTTTTGGTGGTAGGCCATAAGGGGTGGGGCTGTGGGGGAGGAAGTTTGGTCATTAGGGGCATGGGATTGGGAGCCCAGACCCTTCCTCCTCTCTCTTTGCTCCCCAGACTCCATGCAGTGACTGTGCCTCCTCTACCACACGCTCCCACCGTGCTCTGTCCTGCTATCATGGGGCCAAGCCGATGGGCCCAAAACCCCATGGACCACAACCTCTACAACCATGAGCCAAAGTAAACCTTTCCTCTTTCTAAGTTGATTGCCTCGGGTATATTGTTATAGTAACGAGAGCTGACCCACATGGCACACAAGAGAGAGGAAGAGAGCAGCAACAGAAAAGCTAAGGAACAAAACTTATGTTAACAATCCACTCTCAAGCCAACAAACCCCACTTCCAAAATAATGGTCCTCACCCATTCAGTAGGGCAGGGCCCTCAGCACCCAATCATCTCTTAAAGCCCCACCTGGTAACATGGTTACCATAGCAACTAACTTTACCCCCAGATTCGCAGGTGTCATTCGAGTCATACCAGATTCTGAATCATGGCTCCACTACCCAAGGAGAGCCAGGTGGCGCTAGCACATGAAAGAAACAACAGGGGCTGGTGGCGGGTCCCCTAAGGAGACATTCTGACCATGATTCCTGGGCCGAACGTGACTGTCTCTAGGTACCTGTGACATCGCGCAGGCCCGGCTGCAGTTTCTGTCCTGAGCATGAGCCGGGACTAACGTTCCTGCCGCTTGGTGCTTCCCCCGTGATGGACGGAGACCCAGGTTCCCGGGAAGCAAGATGAAAAGCGCCGCAGTCCAGGGTCACAGCCGGAAACCCCTCCATGGGGGAGAGCGGCTAACCCGGAAAGAGCACTTGCCCAAGGGAGGAGTCAGCTCCACCGATCCATGCTTGCCCCAGGGCCTGCCTGGACACGCAGGTGCGCGCGCACACACGCCCTTGCCCAGGCTGAGGCTCACGATGACCCCGCGGGCGCCTGACCACGAGGCACACTGTGAGGTCACACCTCCTATGACCCAGCAGCCACAGAATGCTGGCGCCTGCCTGGAGCCCTGCAGTGTCTTCCACAAGGACCCCACAAAGGCCACCTCCAGGTGACCGGGACAGACTCTCGGGAGAGGGGGCCACCCACCAGGCAGGCGGCTGGCTTCTTCTGCTCACACCACACAGGCCCACAGCTACGCCGGCGGCCTCTGGGTCCCCCTGCAAAGGCGAGATGAAGCCGGCCTGTGCAGCTCAGCCCTGGTCCCCTCTGTCACCCACAGGCCTCACATCCACCTGGGAAGCCAGGCTTCGGGAGTGGGAGCTCATCCCGGCAAGGAGGGCCCAGCAAGGTGCGTCCCGCTGAGGAAGGGCCGGGAGACGGGAACGCAGGTCCCCACCATCTCCCTAGACATCCGAGGACAAGGGGCTAGGCTCCAAGCTTTTTCTCCTCAAAGTACTGAGGACAGAAACCAGGCCCCTCGCTCTGAGTTACATCCAGAGCCCTTCTTTATTTTTTATTTTGAGACAAGGCTCAGTAAGTCGCTAAGCTGCCCCGGCTGGGCTCAGACTTGCAGTCCCCCTGCCTCAGCCTCCGAGTGCTGGGATCACAGGTGTGCAACCCCACATTCGGTTTTCTCCGCACCTTTTTAAAGTCGGGTGGCCACTGGGCCATTTTCCAAGCAGCCGTAGCTCTTGAGCGGAGCAGCCGTTCGTCAGTTCATCACGGCGTCGTGTTGAAACACGGAGACCAGGGCGAGCCCTACCAGGGACGGCACAGGGTGGCTCCCTCCTTCATCGTTCGTCCTTTACCATTGCTCCTCAAGTCGCCACCGATGACCGCTCTCTCAGGAGGCCAGGACGGGCAGGCCAGAGTCCTGTCTCTCTCAGCAGGGCCGGCTTTGTCCCTGGAATGGAATTGTTTGTCTTGTCAGTTTCTCTTCCTCCTCTCGGGGACCAAGGAACCCGTCCCCTGTTCCAAGGCCTGGATGGGGATCGGCTCCAGGGCGGCAAAGGAAGCCAAGAGTGGGATCTGTGGGCTTTCCGGGGAATCTCTTTTCCTGTAACACTCATTCTGACATTTAGCCATTCACCTCATATTTTGATCGTTCTGTATACAGTCACAGGGGGCTGCTTTTCAAAACCTGGTCCCAGCCAGAAACACACTGGGGGAAAGCCGGCCTCTGGAAACTCAGCCGTCCACAGGCACAAGGCTGAGCCGGGACACATGGCTCTCACCAGGTACTAACTTAAAATCCAAACAGATCACAGATCTAGATGCTGAAGCAGAAACACTTGCCCTGCTGGAAGATAAAACAGGTAAAACTCTAAAAGCCTTGAGCACAGGCAAGGGCTTTCTGAACAGAATCCCAGTTGCACAGGAGTTAGGACCAAGAATGAACAAATGAGATCATTTCAAATATTAAAACTTCTTCACAGCAAAAGAAACCACCAACAGAGTGAAAAGACAACCTACAGAACGGAGAAAAAAATCTTGCCAGCTGTTCCTCAGACATGGGACTAATATCTAGGATGCATAAAGAACTCAAAAAACTAGACCCACCCCAAATAAAAGACCTAATCAAAAGATGGGCCAGTGACATGAACAGGCACTTCTCAGAAGCCGCCAAAGCTGTGGGGGAGGCTCCCTTCTACACTGACGGGAATGAATGTAAACTGGTAAAACCACCATGCAAGTCAGAACGGAGCTTCCTCAAAGCACTAAAACTAGAAATTCCATTCAATCCAGCTGTTCCCCTTTGAGGTACTTTCTCCAAAAGAATGAAATGACATCATGTTACAGTGCCCCATGCATGCCTATGTTTATAGCAGCATAATTCATAATAGCTAAATCTTGGAAGCCACCAATATGTGCATCAACAGATGAATAGATAAAGAAAATGTGGTATTTACACACCATGGAGTACTACTCTGCCATAAAGAAGGACAGGCTTGAGTCATCTGTAGGAAAATGGATGCATCTTGAGGCCATAATGTTAAGTGAAATAAGTCAGACTTGCACGCTTAAATATTGCATTTATATAAGAAACCCAATGTATAAATAAAGAGCAAAATGAAAGATAGATAATAGGAAGTAAGGAGATGGCTTTCTGAAATGCGAAGGGGACCAGGAAATGGAGGAGGGGAGGGTACAGAAAGAATGAAGCTGTGTCACACACACACACACATGCACCAGCGGCCGTGAGGAATGTGATCACTATACACTGCAAACAGGCACTAATATAAAAATGTTTTTACTCTGTAATCTGTCCCCTCTGAAGTCTCCCCAGACCCTCACTCCACCGCCCCTCGACGTCCACTAACCCTGTGTCCCAAGCCTGCTTTCCAACCCAAAGGCTGGTACTTCCTGCTGTGACGGAAGCAGTGGGCAGGTGATTTCCTCCCTTCTTGGTGGGTGAGCTCGGGGCGCGGGAGTCCTGGAAGAAGCAGGGTGGCCCGAGGCCTCGCTGGGCTGTGCAGCTGAACCTCACAGGCCCACCTGGGGGCCCAGTGCTGCAGGCCGGAGGGGACCCACCAAAGCCTGTCACCCCGGCTGGAGTCTGCACCTGGGGGCCACCGCAGCCTGGGAACGTGGAAGTCACCGCCCTCTCTGGGCAGACGAGCCCCGGAAGCCCCTGTGCCTGACTGGCTGTGCTGAGGCTGCCGACACAAATGTGTCCCCGCACATTACAGCCGGACGGGAGGGGAGGGACCCACTCAGGGCCCCTAGCCGGGCGACCGCCAGCGCCAGGTCAGACACAGGGCCAAGGAGCCCGCAGGGAGACTGAGGTGTGGGTTATTACACCGCGGGGCCCCCAAGCCCAGACAGACAGTGCCAGCTAACATCAGCCAAGAAAATCACCCTGCCTGCGTGGCAGCAGAATAGTTCAGTGAGCTGCTTCCACCACCCAGCACTCTAGGAGGCTGAGGCAGGAGGGTCTCACATTCCACCCCAGCCTGGGCAACTACTACAAATGCCAGGAAAGAAACCCATCAGCAGACTGAACAGACAATCTATGGAATGAGACAAAATATTTGCAAACCAAACATCTGACAAGAGTTAATATCCAAAATACATAAGAAAAACAACAGCAAAAACAAAACAAAGAAAAAACCCCAAGCCAAAATCAAAACAGAACAAGAAAACAAACCACCAAAAAAAGCAAATAACCCAGTTTTGGTTTTAGTTTGTGTTCTTAATTTTATTTTTTAAATTTAAGACATGAGGTTTTATTATGTTGCCTGGGTTAACCACGCTTCTGGTTTTGTTCTTAAGGCAATTCTTCCATCTGCATTTTTTTTCTTTTGTACTAGGGATTGAACCCAGGACCTTTCTACTGAGCTACATCCTCAGCCCCTTAAATTTTACTTTATTTTGAGAGAAGTTCTCACTAACTCACCAAGTTGCTCCTGCTAGGCTGGAAGTTGAAATCCTCCTGCCTCAGCCTTCTAGAGTGCTGGGATGTCAGCCATGAGTCAGGATGTCTGACCCCTCCACACTGAGCAGCAGAGATGCCTGCCTGAGGCCGTGGTCCTTGCCTGGGACCAGTGCTCCACCGTGGTGTACACTCGGGGACCCCATCCGGTCACCTCCTACCACCCTGCAGAGCACCACCCCGATAGGCCTCAGCCTGCTGAATGCTGAGACTACAGGCCTGCACCACCATGCCCAGCTCAGAGAGAGAGAGACAATACACTTGTTCAGGAGCTAGATTTCACCACCCACAATACATGTGCTTCAAACATGGTGCCATGCACAGTGAACACATACCAGGCGACCGGTAGATTTCAGAAAGTTAAAAACCAAACTAAAACTGAAGTGAGGCCCGCCTTCTCCCCACGAGGGCTTTGCTACAGACCCTCCCTTCCTGGTGACAACACTTGTGTGTCTGCTTTTCCTCAAAGCACAAGTGTCAGCACTGGTCACCTCGCTGGGCTCAAGGCAAGGTGGTCAGGGACACGCAGCAGCCTCCCCACTAATTACCAGTTCGTGCCGCAGGCTCTGGGCATGTAATTGGGCTGCATATCTAATTACATGTGCTCTGGAGATCGTCCCCGGCCGCCTGAGCCTCGGCACAGCCACCGAGGTGTCTCTGACATTATGCTGCCACCACAGCTCCGCACCCTGCTCTGCAAAGTGAAAATGATCCTCACCACAAAACCTGTCTCCCACTGCAGCCTGCCGGGAAGATCAAAGGAGGGCAGGACTGACAGAGGGGCCCATAAACGTCCCAGTCAAAGGCCAGGCTAGCCAGGTTGGAGGCCTGCAGTGGCACCGTGTGCAGGTCAATGTTAAGTCACCATTTCCTGGGCAAATCCCAACTCCCAAGCTGCTGTAAGAGCCTCAAATTCTGGTCACCACGTGAGGCTCTGAAATGCAGCAACTCTCAGGTGGAGGCCAACATGGCATACACCAGGCAATCCTGGCCTTGGGGGCAGAGGTGTGTCCCTTCTCTAAAGGGTGGGCAGGATCAGAAGTCATCCGGAAAGGACATGTGGTCTCAGCCCCGGGACCCCCATTTCTGGCTCCAGGAAGTTCACAGAGGACACGTCAGGTCGCAGAGCCATGAACCCCGAGTGCCATTTAACCTCTGAACTTATCAAGTGACACCGGCAAACACTTGGAGTTACTTGCTCCAGGTCACCCGGGGAAGCTGAAAAAGAAAAAGCGAGAGAAGGAACCACATTCCCAGTTCCCAGGACCACATTTTTATGGGTGCATTTACTCCTTGATGCCTTTACAGCTTGGCCTGAAAGGCTGTTGCTACAGTAACACATGGCGTCACCGTTAGCTATTCAACAAATAAAAGAGAATTTGTTTAAAGGTTTTAATGTCCCTAAATTTCATCTTGATTATCCCAGGGGAAAAGGTCCCCCTGCTTGGACATGCTCTTTTATAACAGATTAGCTGGCTGCTGTGACGTATTCTGTGCGACTGAGTCACCATGGTGGTGGCTGTCGCCAGAGTGCACACTGGCTTTCTGGAAAGGGCTGGCTCTCCCAGCGGCTCTCGGATTTTGCCGTCATGCTGCTTTGCTTTCATAGGAAAGGGGGCAATGAATAACCTTCTACCAAGTCCCCATCCTCCTGTGTAAGTGACAGGGGCCAAAGAATACATAAACGCTCACATGGCATCGTTCCAGGCTGCTGATGATAATAATGATGCCGTGGGCAGGGGTGATGGGGTTTTAGGGGGGTCAGAAGGCGAGTCTGTAAGTGCTGCAGGGACAGCAGTCCCACCTCAGAGCTAAGTGTGCTGTACTAAAGGGACATCCAATCAAGAAGGCCGGACTAGGCCAGGCATGGGCGGTCTGCAATCCCAGCACTCCAGGAGGCCAAGGCAGTGTAAATGAGTAGGGGTGTGAGGGACAAAGTTCAAAGTCAGGGCCATGCAGGGCCCCTGTCGGCCACTGAGGGACCCTGTGTCTGACTTTTCTGAGGCTGGCCTTTGTCTCCGGTGGCCACTGGTGTTTCCCAGATGTGCGTGCATGTGGACGTCCATGATGCTGGGGGGGGGGGGCAGGTGCAAGCCATTGTCGCTCCAAGTCCTACCTTTGCCTCAGTTTCTCCCTTCACTCTTGGACTCGGAGGCACACTTGTTAGACCTTTCACTCCGAATCCTTGTGCTCTGGCGTTTTTCTGCTTTCTTCCATTTCCTCCTAGGCATTTTTGTTGTTCCAGTTCATTAATTTTTCTCCTAAACTGTGTTTTATCTGCATTAAACACAACACAGTCTTAATTTGTCATTAAATTTCTCACTTCCAAAATTTCCTTTTGATTCTGTTTTATGGTTTCTAGTTTTCTGCCAAAATCCTCAATATGCATTTATTTCTTTACTGGATTAAGCATAGTGTTCAAAATCTAATCTGTGGATTCCCCATCGGTAGGCTTCTTTTACCTCTGAATCCTCTCTCTCTCTCTCTCTCTCTCTCTCTCTCTCTCTCTCTCTGTCTCTCTCTCTCTCTCTCTCTCTCTCTCTGGAAGACAGTCATGACACATTCCTATAACTGAACGTGAACACATAAAAAAGTTGCCAGCACTCTGGGAGACTGAGGCAGGAGGATCACACATTTGAGCCCAGCCTGGACCACATATCTCCTGATCAAGATCCTGTTTCCACATACAAAGGGGTTTTTTTTGAGGGGGGGTGTTGTTTTTTAAAGCCAGGGATATAACTCAGTGCCAAAGCCCTAGGTTCAATCCCCAATACCGCAAAAACAATTAAAAAAACAAAAAACCAACCTCATGACCTGGCGTTGAGCATGTTTCTCTACTCCAGGACTTCTCAGAGCCTTTGGTCTGCCCTGTGCACTATGACTAAGAAGGGTACAGCTCTGCAGCAGTCTCGGACTTGTCTTCTCCAAGTGGCTATTAATAACTCACAGAGCAAACCCATTCTGCTGAACAACTCAAGAAACACTGCCCTAGACCAGGGATTGAGAATTTCAGTCCTCAGGACAAATCCAAGCCCACCTGTTGTATGGCCAGCAAGCTAAAAACAAAGAACTTGTTACAGTTTTAAACAGTTGGAGAAATTCCAAAGAAAGTTGTTGTCTCAGGTCAGGTGAAAATTATATGCCATTCAAGTGTCAGGATGTCTAAATACACTTGGCTGGCACACGCCTGTCTCAGCTCAGCCTCCTACCTCAGAACACGCAGAATGCCACAGCCTGGTGGACTAAACAATGGCTTCTTTCTCACGTCTTTGGAGGAAGATCCATGACCCGTGCGGGTGAGGGTTCCTTCCTGGAGCACAAGTGGCCGCCTTCCCGCTGTGGGCTGCATGGCAGAGAGAGCGCCTGGCCTCTTCCTCCTCTGGCAAGGCCACTAGTCCCACCCTGGGGCCACCCTCTCGGCCCCATCCAACTGATGTAGGAGCTAGGGTACCAACAGCCTGCTGGGAAAATGAGCGGGACCTGTCAATCACAAGATCCCAGGGCAATGCCAAGACCCCGTATGTAGAACTTCTCCCAAGCTCCACTGTGGGTTTAAGAAGAGTTAACAGAAAGCCGCTAACGCGCGTGACTTTACAATATAACCCACCCTGCCTTTCTCAGACGCTGTGTGTACTTTCATTTTTTGTTTTTACCCTCTTTTTCTCTGCTTGGCCCAAGTTTACCCTGCAGAGCTGTTTTCTCTCATACCCATTTACCCTGCACTTTTCAAATACTTTTTGGCACTGTTATTGGCTTATGTCTTCCAATTCTTTGCTCAAGAGAAGAAGAACCTGGAATACTTTTGATTGGCGAGCCATTTCTAAAGAAACTACTCTATAACACAACCTAATTACTTCCTGTCATGGTCCACATCCTAAACATCCCTGAAAGGCTCAGATGTTGAAGGGTTGGCCCCAGCCTGCCGCCTGCTGGGAGGGAGGGGAACCTTTAGGAGGTGAGACCTCATGAGAGGAAATGATGTCACTGGGGGCATGGCTTGACCCCAGCCTGCAGCGCCGCTGGTAGGCCGGGGAACCTTTAGGAGGCAGGCCTCGTGGAGGAAGTGATGTCACTGGGGGCGTGTCCTTGAGGGGACTATTAGGACCCACCCTTCCTGTCTCTGTTTCCACTTCCTCTCCCCATGAGGTGAGCAGTTTTGCTCCACCGTGTTCTCTGTGCCATGAGGCACTGTCTCACCACAGCCATAGCAACCACCATGTCCTTTCACCTACTTACAGATACTCTAGAGCTGCCTCCAAGCAGCAATGGCAGAGCTGAGTCATTAAGAGAAATAGTCTTGCCCTCAAAGATGACATTGGCCAAGCACCGCTCTAGAATAACCCCCAAGGCACGCGGACGTTCGTGCTCTGGTTCCCTCCCCTCCCCAGCCCCTGCATTTGCTCAGCTCTGTCTCCACCCTCCCGCAGGAGCCAGGCCCCAGGATGCCCTGTCCGCCACAGAGCGAGTCCCCATTACGACTGCTAGGACAGGGCTCAGAGGTCCAGCATTTGATAGGAGGTGGCATTTTCCAGAGACGGCCAATGGGAGGCCCGAGAATCTGTGTAATCGATGGAATCCCAGCGACTTGGAGGCTGAAGCTGGAGACTCGGAAGTTCAAGCCCTGCCTGAGTACTTCAACCCTGTCGTTAACATAATGAAGAGGGCTGGGGATGTAGCTGTGTTGCAGAGTGCCCTTGGGTTCTATCCTCAGTGTCACAAAAAAAGAAAGGAAGGAAAGGAAGGGAGGAGAGAGAGAGATGGGGAAAGAAGGAAGGAAGCAAGGAGATTGAACGTACTGGGAAAACAGCTACCATAGCTACTCAGGACAAGCAGAGAGGGGTCTGCACGTGGGAAGTGTCCGGGCCTCACACCTCTGCAGCCCTGTGTGCACACGGTTCTTCTTCCAGGAAAGAGTTGAAACCCTCCACTATGTTGCGTGATCCACCCACTGCGGAGCCTCTGACACCGACACGGACACCGGCCCTGGGAAGCCTCGTGCCCCAGGCTGCGGTTCTTTCAGAAGTTGAGGGAGAGCCATCAGAGATAGTATAAATACAAACCACCGGGTCCGTGGTCGGCCCTTCCTGCCAGGCTGCTCCCATGCTGGTCAGGCCCACAGACCACATGCTAAACACACTGCAAGGTCGTAATTAAGTCCACAAACTGCTAACCCGTGATCTAACCCGCTGTCTTGATAAATGCGCCTCATTACGGCCTGGGAAACCCAGATCGGGCTCCCGGGACAATCTGGAATCTGGTCGCTTGGGGGGCATGGGCCCTGTCCTCCTCTCTCCATGTCACCTCATGCGGGGTCCCCGGGGCGCCTCTCCAGGCCCTTGGGGTCCCGAACAGAGAACTGGACAGGACACACAGACAAGGTAGCGAGGGTGAACATTACTGAAGGTGAAAAAGTGCACTCTGCAGGGCGCGAGCAGCCTGTGAAATGCTCGCAGGGCCTGAGGGTAAGGAAAGGGTCCTTTTTATCCAGAATTCCGAGTTGGTCCCTGTCGTGCAAATAAGACACTCCACAGTTGTCCCACCCAACACTCACTTGGAGTCAAGCCCTGGGTAAATGGTCCTGAAAAACCTCGCTTGAGCGCTTGCTGCTGGCCAGGACAGGAGTTCTAGGCGCTGCTTTCATCGCATGGAGGCTGCAGGCAGCCGTACCTTAGGGAGCATGAGCACAGCAGAAGCTTCCAGAACAGCTCCCAGCCCACTCTTCCCAGGGCTCACAGATTGTTAAAATTATGTGTTAAGCTGGGCACGAAGGTGCACGCCTGTCATCCCAGCACTCAGGAGGCTGAGGCAGGAGGATTGCTGTGAGTTCAAGACCAGCCTGAACTACATAGCCAGACCTTGTCTCAAAAAAAAAAATTATGTTTTAATTTCAAGTGTTTTTGTCTCAAAGAAGAAAGAATAAGTTTTTACTGGAAATGAGATAACTTTATTTAAAATGGGTTTTGTTAACATTCTGAGAAACTGGATTCTAAGTTGTTGGCTTTCCATGTCTTAAATTCCTATCTCTACTGCCTAAAAGCCCTGGCCCTGGTCCTCCTGCCTCAGCCTCTCAAGTGCTGGGGTGACAGGCGTGCACCACCACACCCAGCTTAGGAGAGTCCCGAAATAAACAGCCACCCCATCACAGTCCTGAACAATCTGCGCAGTTGCTCACTAGTTTTTATGTGAAACCATTACTCCCCAAACCAAGGAAGGAAAGCTTAAGCGCCCTTCTGAGGGGCCCAGGAACAGGGGTTTTGGTCTGTCTTAGGTATGTAGTGCTGGGGTGGAACCCAGGGTCTTCCCTCTGAGTTCCGTCCCCAGCCCTTTGTTTATATATATAGATATAGATACAGATTTTTTTTGGTACCAGGGATTGAACTCGGGACCTTGTGCTTTCGAGGCAGGCGCTAGAACTACTGAGCTAAATCCCCGGCCCCCTTTGTTTATTTTTTTTGAGACAGGGTCTTGCTAAATTTCCCAGGCTGGGCTTGAACTTTCGATCCTCCTGCCTCAGCCTCCCAGAGTGCTGGAGTTAGAGGTTTGTGCTACTGCATCCGGCTCTAATAACGCCGTTATTCGTAAGTGCAAATAGCTGCCACTTACAACAGACTTGTAGGCATCACTGTGGATGTATTTTGTATTCGGGGATGGAACCGAGGGCCCACAAGTGCTAGACAAGGGCTCTGCCACTGACCCATATCCCAGCACCCACTTTTTTTGATGTCTCAAAAAAGGTCTAAGTAGCCCAGGTCTAGGTAGCCAGAGCTGGCCTCAAACTGAGGATCCTCCTTTCTTAGCTTCCTGTGTGCTATGATTTTGGGTGTGCGCCACCATGCCTGGATTTGAGTGCATTTTGATTTTGGTTTTTTTGTTTGTTTTTTGAGGCAGAGTCTCCCTTTGTAGGGAGGGCTGGCCCTGAACTCACTGTGTAGCCCAGGCTGGCCTCGAAATTGAGGTGATCCTCCTGCCTCAGCCTCCTGGGTGCTGGGACTACAGGTGTGTGCCACCCTGTCCGGCTTGACTGCAGTTTTTAAACAAAACCCACCATCATAACGTGAGGAGCTCAGGCTGCACATGGAGAAGCCCTGGCCCCTGAGGCCCTGGGTGGAATGAAATGGGGCCTGACATGGACAGAGACCCAGGCCAGCTCCGGACCCTCACCCAGTGGCACAGGGTGTCATGGCCTCCCCACATCACCAGAGTTGAGGACCAGCTGAGGTGCCAGGCAGGCATGCAGAGCTGTGGGAGACTAATCGTGTTTAGTTTTTGGTCTTGCTTTTGCTATGCGGCCCAGGCTGGAACTCACAGTAATCCTCCTGCCTCAGCCTCCCAAGTGCTGGGTTGACAGATGTGCACCATCGCACCTGGCAGTCTGAGCTCAAATTTTGTTGCCAAATAAACTCTGGGGGGAAAAAAAAAAGCTTGCTTGGCTTCCTGCCTTATGAAAATGAAGGATCAGGAACAGTGTTTTTTGAGTGGCTGTGCCCATATGCAAATGAAGGGCTGGAAAGAGCATCTTCTGATTGATTGGTCCTGTGAACAGCAAAGAAAGGGTTGAAAATAGCAAGTTTCCAATTGGTCCAGACTTGCACCTTTCGGATTGGTTCTGTGTACAGTGGTGATGACGTCACCGTGTTGGGACTATCCCTCGCCCTGTTTAACCATATCCCCCTCCCTCTCTCTGTCCCACCTCCCAGGAATCCCACAGCCACCCCAGACACAGTTCCATGGACAGTCTCCATCCACACCCCCACGGAAAGCCATGCCACAGCCACACCTGGCCCTTCCCTGGGCCAGGAGCGCCCCCAGGAGGGCAGAGGGGCAGAGCAGTCTCGGGTGGGGACTGCAGGGTCCTCGGCCACAGGGCAGGACAGATGCTGTGAGGCTCCACCTGTCCCCCTCCCTGTGACCTAGCCCAGCGCCCTCCCGCAGGCACCCAGCTCTGTGACCCCCACTGACTGTCGCTCTGGACATCCAGGTCTCTCCCCACGGTGACACCAAGACGGGCTTCGTCTGCATCTCTGAATCTCACAGGACCACTGAGAGCCCCCAG